GAATCCCATGGGACATGGATGGGCACGAATCCACCAAATTTCGGATTTACTCGATTCCACCTCTACAGTCACTACAAGCACTTAACGCAATGGTATTGAAACATATTCTGCCTTCATATTAAGGACCTTCGAATGTCAATTAAAACTCGACTTCAATAAGCGCTTGACGTTTGGAAATCGAGGATCATTTGGGAAGTAAAAATAAGAGCTAAGCTAATGAAGTGCGGGATTCGTTTTAAAAAAAACGATGCCATTGAAGTACTAAATCTAGATGCTGCATTCATAATGCCAGTACAACCATTACAGCTTTCGTCAACACAGCCGTCAGCAACTAAGTCGGAAGCCCATTTATGATTTAGCAGAGGACTATCATTTACTTTCCTCCGGTGACAGAAGGACAACAACAAAACAAAGTTCAGGCACTCTAGAGCATGGCATAATTCGCGGATAGGTATTATTACGGCATTGGGTAGGAAACGCGGTTGTGCTAAATGACTTCGGCAATGTTTTTCAAGCATTTAATCAAAAAAAGAAAATAAAGTCAAGAATTCTGTTCTAATACCATATACGCATCTCTGACGGCCCACCGCATATAGTCCTCGAAATATAATCATTGTATCGTGGGTTTTTATTATAACTTGTAAAAATTGAAATTTAAGTGAAACTTTGGTGGAAAGAGAGCAGCAGTTCTTGAATATCCACCATGGGAGATCGTACTAGCCGCGGACAAATAACACAGCAAACATAAATTCTAAATGAAACAACCTGCGAGAATAAAATTATTTCCACTACTTTCGCATAAGATTTATGGGAAAGCCTGTGTGAAATCAATTCACCAGTTCTCATTTTAGTGAAGGTAGTTAACTAAGGTGGATTCAGGTGACAAAACCATCTAAACCAAAAAAAAACATTTTACTTTTTGGCAAGAGCCCCATATAACTCAAATAGCATTCAGACAGAATTTTCTTGGCAGAACCAAACTTTGGATCCTATTTCATGGAATATTTTAAAGGCCATCCCAGGACTCGGTAGTGCAATCGTAAACATAAACTTTTGTACTGACTCACGGTCTTTAATGTTAGGATCATAAATTCATTTAATCAGTTGCATACATGCATGTAAGGCCGCTGATAATCCGGATTCAGCGCTAGTTTTGCATCTAGATGCAGTATCAACTACTTCAATTATTTGAGCTTGAGTTAATTGCAAGGCGTAACAAGCACAGCACAGGCTGTGTTGAAGGGACAATGTTGTGTGCTACCAAAAGGTAAACAATGCGCAAATCTCGCTACCGCTGCTAAACAATCTGCATGATTCATTTAGTCTAACTGCTGTGACAGCTGTCTCCGTTTAAGTCGGAAGGCTTAGTAGAATTGATTATCGACAATCAATTTCAACTTCCGAAAACATTTGTGAAAATACAATGTAGGTGCATCTAATGGGTTTCAGCTGATGGGTGAAATGTGACATTGTCTCAGTTTTCTCGAATCACTTAAAGTTTGAAAAAAAAGACATTTTGAAAAGGTATCACAATGATCAAACCATGATCGTCACAAAGTATGCCACATACGGACTTAGTGGAAAAAAACCCAACTAATCATAAACACATTTGAGCAAATCAGACAAATAATGCTTCCAAAATCAATTTCAGAGATGTTCAGCAAAAACTAGAGCAATGTATGAACCAGGCTCGAATTGAAGTCGAAACAAATGACGTTGAAAGTTTGAGTTTAACAAGCCAAGAATGTTTTCAGTTTTGGAGCTTATAACCAGCCAATGTAAAAGTTTGCGACGAAAACACGTTGAAATGTACACACTGAGATCAGCAGATAGATTGCCTATAGTTAAATGAACTTCTTACCAAGGCAATCCCCTCAAAAGAGAAGATAAAGATGCCCAGCGCAACGAGCACCTCACTGAAGGAGGTAAAGGCAGGAAGGGAAGTGATATCCTCAAGGCCAGTGGAAAAGATATAGACAAAAATGAGTACCAGACCCAACGTTGTGGCGATCAATGCGATAGCAGAGGGGATGGCAAATATCAACATCGTCATCTTGATATTCAGCATAACAAGCAACACGGCAACAATAAATCCGATCAAGTAAAGGTTCGCACGGACCTCCGGCCATGTCGTTTCTATAAACTATTATTATGGACAATAGTTACCGTCATTCCAACTTACGTATTTAGTGTTCTGGGCCACAAAAAGCATGTATATACAACAAAACCCAATCTGCGTAAGGAGCAAAAAGATGTTGATTGTGTGCCTAAAGCAGTTACCTACCACATCGAAACATACTTGGCCTTGCCCTTGTAAGATCTAAAACGTTCTGGACCAAATTTTACAACATAAAACACAGCTTCTGCGTAATCGATTTTACTCCGATCAAGATTGTTTCTAAATACGAATTTAATTGTGGAAATAAATCCGTCTACTTTATGATAACGACGTTTGATATACGAAGTAAGACATGCATAAGGTAAGTGGAAAGGCAGGCGTAGAAAATCAGAAAAGCAAAGCCAAGACATAAACCAGAACGTTTAAAGGCGACCGGCAGAGCCAAAATTCCTGTGCCAATGTTGCCCTTTAGAAAATTAAAAAGAGCCGATACCGCCCTGGAAATCACAAATATAGCAGCCATACCCGATATTTTTGACTGATAATTCCGGATGATCCTGTTCCTGGGGCTGATGATCATCTGCCACCTCAATGCCATGGTCACCATCACTCAGGGAATCATAAGTAGCCATTTCGATGAATGAAAAGGAAGGCCTAGGCGACAAGTACGGATTCGAAAGAGCACGCACAACATATTCCGAGAACAAATAACGCAGAGAAAGAGAAAGGACCAATCAGGTGAGAGACCCTTGTGGTTAGGTCAATTGGCCAACTGAATAATCATTGGTAATTGTACTACTAATCAAAAAGCCAAATGCAACGCAATGGATTCGGTCTTGCAAGCGTTTCAGAGTATGAAGGAAAAAATCCATTTAATTGAAATGAAGTCTGCGAAACTTAGTATAAAGACGATACATAAAATTTATTATTGAGGCAGGCGTTTTGAGGACTTTGCTGCACTTGGTGTCTCGCATTGTAATACTTTGTTTATGTGACTGCCAGACGTTTGGCGGTCACTTTAGAATCTGTTTGGCTCCTGTACACGTGGGTTGGCCTTCGGGCCACGCTCAGGCCCCATTTGTCCTGTTGTCCTCGGGATCAATGTGCTCAACCCCACTTATGCCTTCTTCCACCCTATGGAAGGCCCCGGGACTCCGCACGCGTAGTGGTTCTTTAAATTTTCTCTTATGATGAGGGAGCTAAATATCGAATTGAACGCATCGCCCGAGAACCAACGAGGGAATCTCGACTCCTATACACTTCTCAGTTACTGTGAACCTATGGGTGTCGAATGAATCCCTCCAGAGAGAGGGCTCTTGTGAGGGTGTTCTGGGTGAAACGCCCCAACCCTTTACAGCTGCTCCCTGGAAATGAAGCCATGGGTTTATTTATGCTTCCACTACATACCATCTAGTTTCATTTGTTCTGATAAATAAGATTCACACCATAATGGCTCATTTTGGCCTAATTATCAAGATGGATCGATCAGACCTAGAAAGTTTCGGCTAG